TATTGCTTTCATACATATTTTTTTTGATCTGCAAGCAATGTAGTTTAAAAATTCTTTACTGTCAAATAACTGCTCGATGAAATGCCCAGCTCGATTGGCTCACCCCCAGTCGATGACATTCTTGTCCATATTGTCTCTGAAGTCTCAGTCGGGCTCATATGATTCGAGAAGTGATCAAAGTTCTTGATTTGGTTTCTAAATTTTGAAAAGTACATATCTTTGAATCTCTTCAACTCAATGCTTGATGTTCTCGTTAAGGAATATATTTTCTTAAAAAAATTTATCGGGAAAAGATGAAGGAAAGGGTGTTGGAGGTTATGTATGTAATCACAGCCCAGCCAACGTTTTGGACGGCTACAGTAGATAGAGAGACAAACGTTGCAACAGTGTAAGGATCAAGAAAGAGCCCTCAGCCTGTCAATCCTTACTCTGTTTCAAGTACGCTTTGGGTATTCACATTTCTGTGTGTGTATGTATTATGTTTACATTTTCCGTTTGAGATCGGAGTTTTTGTTGAATAGGAGATTTTCGTATATACGTATGTATATGCACGAATACATTTCTTGATTTAAGTCTCTGTGTTGTGAATTTTTGATTGCCGTTGTGTTTGAAAATTCGTGTTTTGGATAGGAATTAGTGAATGAGGATATATAACCATAAAAAACATTGCCAAACAACTCATAGAGGCAACCAAACAAGCATGTCAGATAAGAGTCATCTTTCTATCTGCATTTCAACTAAAACTCCGATCAATTTTGTTGAGATCTTAATTAATTTATTGGTTTGGTGAACTTTGGATGCTACTGATGTGCAATTATGTCCATATCTATTTTTTCAGGCTGTTTTATTATATTGGATGGTCTAAGTTAATCTATTTCTAAGTTAAAATTCGGAACTTTTTTCAATCTTATGGCATGTTCGGAATTCATTTGCACTGAAAATTTGCATCTTAAGAGGCAAGCGGCAACGGCTGCGGGGACTGGGACGGTTATGGCAACGGCTACGGCGACAAAACCACGCTTGGTCAGGTGATTGCCATGATAATCAACTGCCACTTTTTGTGATTTTTTAAGCCAAAAACAAACGAAGAAAGAAAAATTAATCTTTTAAATGAGAGCATGTAATCCTGTTTTTTGTCATTCCACCACCAATTTGTTCTTGGAGTTTAGTACTTATTTTTTAAATCATACTTATTCCATTTACATTTTTTGATCTATCTTTGTGGCAACTGGTTGGTCTTTTATTTTTTTCAAATTATTGATATTATTATTTTTTATATTATAGTGCTTGGGCAACTAATGCAGGGAAGCGGTTAAATAAAGAAACGAGAGTAGTAACCATCAAGGGTGTAGAAGTTGGCAATGTCAACATTCATGTTATTCATTTGGTAATTAATTTCTTTTCTATTTGCACTAAATATGATTTTTTATAAAACAGTCAAGTGTATGTGAAATATTGGATATCTTGATCAATTAGGTTATTGTATGTGTATTATTTCATGAATTGAATTCTTATGAATGGTAGATACTTTTATCGGAATGTTGAAGACTAATATTGCCTAGAAGCTCTAGCACTATCATTTTCTATTATTTTTACTTAACAATTCTAAGCACTCATGTAAGCTTGCAAAAGATTTTCAAGCAGTATATATAGAGTTTCAGAAGGCTCAGCAGCTTACAGCTGAGAGAGAAACAACATATACTCCTTTTGTTCCTCAAGCTGTTCTTCCTTCCAGGTAATCACAGTTAAGGACGTTGTGGTCATATGGCTAGGATTAGAAGTGTTTATTTGTATGGGAATGTTCAAGGGAATGCTTTCAATGAGTAGCAAAGGGAAGTGTGTTAACTTCAATAACTAAATATGAGCATTTCAAGAAATCTTCTGGGCAAATCGCTGGAGTGATTAGTTGATACTATTGTTGTTGTTCTAGGGTTCTCTGGAATTTCTCTCTCTCTCAGTTTTCTATGTTGCTTATCAGTTGGCATTGATTGTTTTTCTGTGAACAGCTACACAACCAGTGAGATTGATATATCATTAGACAAGAGTCTTGAACAGCGTGCTCTTCTTGTGGAATCAAGAAGGTGAGTTCTGCTCACATTGTTATGTTGTGCAGGTATATTTATGTTCCTATTAGTTTGAGATGCATTGAACTTCTCCAAAATTGAGATACCTCATTCTCTGATTGATGCTTTTCCTCATTATTGTTCTCAAAATTCCATCTGAACAAATTTTTTTTTGTCTTTAGGATGACATTATCCAAGTGCTTTCTGTGCCTGATGAGTTTTTCTCCTTTTCCTGAATGGAGGAGAGAAAAAGAAGGGCAAGGGGGGGTCAATGATGCTATGCATGACGTTGTTGTGCATGACTTTGTGTTTCAGTAACACTACTCTAGACGAAGCTCCTATTGTGCTGCATGTTTCCCTCTGCTGCGTGATTTCTGTTAACTCTGTTATCTGTCGAGTGAAGATGTTGTGTATACTTGAAAGCTTATACCAGGAAAGTTGATGTGTCAAAACTGTTGAATAGTATTTAATGACATGCTTCTTGACACTGAAATTTCGAAAGGCAATGTTCCTCATTTCCTTTTCGTAAAGATGCCTTAATTACTGTTTTGATTTGTTTATAAAAATGCCTATCTTTCTTTTTTTTTTTATATAAGAAGTATTGTGCGTGAGAAAATTTCAGTGGTAAACCATCCTTTTTGTTGTAGAGCTAATTGTAAGAAAGGATTTGGCTTCCCTTATCTAAAGCTCATTTGTTAGTTTTTCAGTGTCTTTTTTTGTTGGTCTTGATTTGGCTGCAATTTAGTTTTTAGTGGTTTGAATGCTCATTACCACTACATTTGTTGGCATACTGAATTGTTTGGATTCCCATCTCTCTCTCTTATTTCTCTTTTTTTTTTTAAAACAAAAGATAGAGATTTCTGAAATTGGAGCATGTAAATAGCCGTCCAGCAGCTGCTTCAATTGAAATCACAAGTAATTAAATGTGCTGTTTGATGCCAATTAAGTTGCAAGTGCATATCATTTACAAATAAGTTGTAGTTTTAAGTCTAGATCCAAATTTTATTATGGATTATGGAAGCAACATAATGGTAGTCCTTTGGAAGGACTTCTGTCAACTAGCTACGACTACAGATTTGGTGGAGTGCAAGAGTTTGATTGGATTATGCATGGACAATCTCGGATTTTGGGGAGCTAAGAGAGGATCTTGGTCTGCAAGATGTTTTGTATCTGTTTTAGACACGATGTCTATAACGATTATAGTGGCAAAATTTTGGGAAAGAGTAATTTGGCACCGGATTGTAAAGTTTAAAAGCATGTATGCATTTTCTTGACTCTCCACATCTAGTTGCTTTAATGGGTGACGATATTCCTTCCTAATGGGCGAGATTGTTGGAATTCAAATAAATGAAGATGTCTATTGTACAAGAGTAATGTTATTGGGATCTAAAAAATATATCTAATTTGTTAACCTAATGATATGATAGTGAGGTGATCTAATAGTGTCATTGTGACTATAACTCTTGGACTTTTTTATTGGGATTTCATCACTTGACACGTTATTTGTCAATAAATAAGTTCAATTTTTTAGATATCAATAATATTACTCATTATGCAATGGATAGAAGATTTGGAAAGTAACCCTCATTCTGCAAATTAGGGTTCCCAATTAATTTTGGAATACTTTTAGTAATTATATTTGTCCTAACAAGGGGTAAGGCTCTAATTCGCCCTAACTAGGATTTTAAATTATCCATGAATACATCGTCTTTGTTCCAACTCGTGGATAGCTCTAGATAGATTTGGATGTGCTTCATCATGGAAGAAATTCAAATTGCTTTTGGTTGTTTATGAGTTGCATAGTCCTAAAACTATAGACAAGTGGTTTTTGTGGAGTGATGGCTGATGTTAAAACCAATTATTAATTTTTTTTAATGGGATTCTCATATTTTCTTGGTGATGCATTTTTTTTTAATATTACATGAATGCCTTCAAGCACAATCAATTACTCGAGAATGACTTTGGAATGTTTGAAATGATTTGGCCAAGTTTAAGTTATAATAGATTTTTGATTTTGAATAAAAATGTGAAAGTGTATTAAATCTGAAATTTATAGTCAAATAAAACTCGACCAATGACACAGCTTGGCCAATGCAATTCTACATTGAAGTCTTAGCTTCCATTTTGTAATCGGGGCTTCCTTGCAAAGTCCCATCTTTTATTATCTCATTAAAATTTTCAACAATTGTGTACATATATTGGTATTTTTTTTGGGTTTTGTTTTAGTGGAAAATTTTGCCAAATTTTTAAAAAAATTATGGGTTCAAATTTTTTGTATAGTACTTTCAAGTACGGACAATAAAGTAGTATATATATATATATATATCGTATATCTAAATTTGAATCTGTAAAAATATAAGATATCATATTCGAATTCGAATTCGAATCAGGATCCGATCCTTTGACAGATCTATTCACATGATTTAAAATTAATCAAAAACCCATAACTAGATGTTTGGTGTTAGGTACAAAGAGCATATAGAAAAATAAAATTCGATATTTGGAGTATTTTAGAAAATTTATATTTTTCACCTACTCACTCAGTTAATTTAGTCTCAAAAAATTTTTAAGGGGGTAAATTATTAAAATAAAAACCTAACGGAGTTGATTGTAAGTATACCTAAACTTGGGGGGGGGGGGGTATTTTTTAATTAACCTTAAATATAGACCATACCAAAACTTTCGATGAAAATTAGAGAGAGAAGATAGAAATAGAGTCGGACTTGGTAGTGGATAGCTTCCGGAAATGGCGGTTTAGGAGAGAGAATCCGAATCTTCAAAAGTGATTCGTTTTTGGGAAGTTCGGAGACGAAAAAGAAGAGGAGAGACGTAACGATTTCCAATAGTTTTTTTTTCTTTTCTTTTCTCCCAAAACTCCTATATTTGATTTCGATCTCTGTTGGGTTCGATTGATGTTGATGCTGAGACTTTAACGCCATGAGGAAGAAGCTCGATACTCGTTTTCCAGCCGTAAGTGTTCCTTCTTTTTCATTCCTTTTTACTTAATTTTTTAAGCTTCATTAGACTTGTGCATGTTATAATTTTAGTGCTTATTATTGTTTGGAGTAATTGATGTCCATGATTGCATTCTTCATGTCGTTTATTGGTGCCCAAAGATATAAAGTAATGTTTATGTTGTTCATATTAGTGGTGAAAAATGGGTTACGAACATAAATTTTAACACTTGATTCCATGCGTGATATGTTAATGGTATTTTGTCATCAATTACTCCTACTTATACAAATTTTAAGAGAAAACATAACAATAAGCACTAAAATTATGACATGCATTCTTAATGTCGTTTGTGTTGTTAAAATTCAATGATGCCCAATGGTAAAGAGTTGTTAAGAGAGCTTGTATCCAACGTCAAATAAGTATGACCTCCAAGGTTGGTTTATACACTTAAGTCACTCAACTTATTGCTAATTGGTTTTGATTTGGATACTCTAACATAGTATCATAGTTGGACTTCTAGTATACATAATTGTTAGTTTGTTTATTGATTGACCTCACGTACAAGCCTGAGTGCCCCCGTGGGACACAGGGTGGCACAAGGTAATTTGAGGTTTAAACCAAAAATATTAAATAAAACCTTTTTTATTTTTAATATTAATTTCTTTAAAAAAATTAATTTATTTTCAGTTTATTATGTGAGAGAGAGATAGAACAAAGACATGTTAGTGTTGCTGAGAAAAAGGTTTTAACTTTTGTTTTTATTTTTTACTAGAGATAGTTTAATTTCAATTTCCTTTTTTATGTTTTTTTTTGTATTTTTATAGAGAGAGGATAGATAGGAATAAATATGAGTTTACTTTTAGGGACTTTTTATTTTTTCAACTTATGATTTTTAGATTTCTAATGTTATGAATTGGATTATGGAAAAATTTTGATTGTACTTAATTTTTTGGGGCCTTTTTTTAAGGTTTAAAATTTAATGGATTTAAATTTTTTCTGAATTAGTAATGTACCTAAAATTATAGGGCCTTCTAAAAATTTGGGTCCTAAAACCCAAGCTTTTTTTTAATGCTGTTGAGCCGCCCCCGGTGCGACCGGGTGTTAAGAGAGCTTGTATCCCATATCTAATAATTCGAACCACAAAAGTTGGTTTATATACTTTAGGTGTTGTTACACCTATTGCCAATTGATTTTGGGTTGGATGCTACAACATGGGCAATATTTATGTTTTTTACATTTGTGGTGAAAAATAGGTTACGAACAGAAATTTTAACACTGATTTTATGTGTGATATGGTAATGATATTTTGTAAATACTATGATGTTAGTGGTCATTTACTCATTTATTTTGGATTGAAAGGACAATACAGCAGTAGTGGTCATTTGGTATATACATTTGTGGTTTGTGCAGCTATATGTGTCAATTTAAATTTTAAACAAGTAATGCAAAATGGACTCACTAGATAGTTTCATGATCTAAGGATGCTAGGGAAGAGGGCTGAGGGGTTTTTTATGATTTGATTGAAGAGAGGAATGAGTTCTTATAAGAAAAACCGGCTAAACCAGATGTCCGTTCACCTTCTTCTTCCCTGGAACCTGAAGCACACTGCTCAACTATCCTCAATTCATCCTTCAACTGACTTTTTGACTTCCAAAACCCCTCAAAGCTGGCATTAATGTATGAATGCACAATTTTATGTCAACTTCCACATGCATGAATGAAATGAGATCTAACTGACATGATTTTTAATGAAATTTAAACAAATTCTCTCCGAATTTGTTAATCATCGAATCTGTTCTCATTTCATCATCGGGTTCATCACTAAGGCATGTGAAAAGATATAGGAATCAATACTCCTGCATCTCAGAGCAAAATCTGAATTAAAGTCCAATAAATATTATCACAGACATTATTAATTGATATGTTGTATATGTTAATTGGCATTTCCCACTGTATTTCGACTGTGTTTTATGCCAAACAGATTAGTTGGCACTGTTATCTGATTGAAGTTTTCATTTTTCAGGCTCGGATTAAGAAGATAATGCAAGCTGACGAGGATGTGGGGAAGATTGCTATGGCTGTACCTCTTCTAGTTTGTAAGCGTCTCCTATTAGTATTGTCAGTATTTCTTTTCTATGATAGGCTTTTGAGCTTTTGGGAGATTAAACAGTTACTTTCCTGGGTAAATTGCCTATCTTGCTTTCCTTTTTATTTTTATTTTCTGCTTAATAAATTGTGTAGTATTGTTTTTTTTTATAGCAACTTATACATTTTCTGTGAATAATCATACGCAGCTAAAGCTTTGGAACTATTTCTACAAGATCTTTGTGACCGTACATATGAGATTACACTTAAGAGGGGAGCAAAGACTTTGAATTCCTTGCATTTGTAAGTTTTTAAATACATTTTCTCTCTAGATTTTAAATGGTGGAGATTAGGCAATGGATGGTTTATATTTTTTATTTTTTTTTCAGTTTGTACTCCCGTCGGCATCTCACTTAAGATTTAATGTGCAGGAAACAGTGTGTACAGAGCTTTAACGTGTTTGATTTCCTGAGGGATATTGTCGGTAAAGTTCCTGATTTAGGTGGTTCAGATGCTGCTGGTGAAGACAAATCTGCTGTTAAAAGAAGGTTTGGGAATGTTATAGGTTTTTTTTTCTCACTTTGGGTAATAGAATATGAAATTTGATTTTTAACAATACTGCTATTACCCTGTTTAAGCAGGAAAATTATTGATGAAGAAGAAAATGGCAGTGAGGATGAGTTGAAGAGTGGCAGGATGGTAAGTAACATGCTGTTTCTTTTAATTTCTTGATGAATTGTAGGCTTTCAGCACTTTGTTAATGCAGCTCAAACTGGGAAACTTGAATTCTTAGCAGTTGGATTAAAGCAAATGAGAGAAATCAATGTGGGGTATTTCACATATAAGCACATATTTTTATAGTTAATGTTTTTATAACAAGCTTACTTAAAATTGGCGCCTATTTTAGCTTTAGACAATGATATGAATCAAATACAGGTATAATTTACTTCTATTTGGCCAGGTATTCACCAATCACACCAGAAATTTTATGGCAATTAATTCATGTTTGCTACATTGGCATGTGTAATGGGCAATTACATAATGTGTCTTAAAAACTGCATGTTAGGAGATGAAAGCAGTGTGGTGTGGAAACTAAATGCAGTAACTGCCCTTTTTGTGCATGAGATAATGGATTTTGTTAATCAATGGTTGTTTTTTCCCCTTTTGGTGGGGTGGGGCTGATGTATCTTGTAGATCAACAAACTCTTTATCAAGTTTATTATTTTAATGCATCCTCTGACAATGGTTGCAGCAGGAGACTGGTCAGACTAATAGTGGCAGAGGAAGAGGTAGGGGTAGAGGTAGAGGTAGAGGCCGTGGTAGAGGTAGTCGAACATTAGAGAAAGAGTTGCCTGTTCATTACGAGAAATTTGAAGATGATCTGGGCATTTCTCAGCTTAGCAATGGGAAGCAAAAGGAAAATCTTGAAAGGCTGGATAGTGGGGCAGAACCTCTGAATTCTAAGGAAAACACTTTGATTGGTGAGAATGCAATTTTGCCAGTTCGGAACTTTGATCTTAATGTGGACTTGGATGAGAACGGGGACTCCACAACCATACCAGCTGTAACTCCTGCTAGTCCATCAACAAAGCCCTCCCTTGAAATGAAGCATGAGGAATACCCTTGCTGGCCACTTGTGGACATGGAGAGAATGACCATTGATCCCATTCAACTTGCCAGTTTAAATAGGATAGATGAGGAAGAGGAAGATTATGATGAAGAAGGATGACTCACTGAAATGGCACTGTGGTTTATGAACATACTCATACAGGTTGATAGTTCTTTTCTTAGATGTATATGTGTAGGTAATGCAGATTAGAGAGGCAAGGAATGAGTTTGTAAAACATGGTGATGAGAAAGTCAGCACAGTACTTTAGGCAATGCTGAAATAGGAGGCTTTCTTTTTGGCCTTTTAGGAGCTTGTATTATACGTTTCTATGTCATCCACCAACAGCAACAGTTTGAAAAAATGATTCCGCTCTGACTAAAAGTTCGGAAATTACACAGGTTTGTGTAATTGACTCTTGTAGTTTGAATTTCCTTCCCCTTTTATTTTATGATTTTTTCCTTTTAAACCCCTCTCCCCCCCAGTACCTATCAGTTGTGTGTGTAATTATCAAGTGGACTGGGATCTTCATGAAAATGTACAATGTATTACTGGGTTTCTTTTGCTTCATTATCAATTTGCAGTATGTCATTTTGCTTCTGTAATGTTTTAGTTGTCTTGTTGGGATGACACAATACAATGGCCTTTTTTCTAGAGTTTTTCCCTATCTGTTCAAATGTCAGGGGCTTAACTTCTAATCCTTGCTGTAAATGTGGGGGTTGTGTAAGCGTTGTTCAGTGACAAATTTCCAACTCTATTCTTTCTGTTGTTTAATGTATCAAGGGATCTTTAGATTGAAATAATTTTGTCGAACTTTGGATTGAGCTTCATATGGATGTGTTTATTGCTTCTACAGAAGATCAGGGTACAGGTTTACACTTTCAAATTTTATGTTTTGGAAATATTATACTTTGTTAAAACATCTAGCGGAATTGGGATAACATCAGTTGATTATGCATTGGCCTCAGGGCTAACTCAAATATGTGGGAGCATTGGTGAACTGAATAGAGGTGTTCTAGGCAAGGTTGGTGTTGCATGGTATGAATGTATTATGGTTTTGGGCAAGTTGGATGTCCAATCTGTTATCGAGCTTTTGAAGCAGGTTTTGTTTCCTACATTATCATTTCATTTTGACTGGCTATCTGCTCATCAAGTTTTAACTGCAATATACTAGTGGGGAGGCCAGAAAGCTTTTCCAATGCCATTGTGATTTGCATACTCACATTAGTTTTGGCTTGTATTCTTTCCTTTAGAACTGATGTCATTTACACAGCTTGTACATGCTTGTGTGTTTGGAGTAGTTCATTTCGCAAGAAAAATGTGGGTAGAACTTCTCATCAGCAATGGAAGCTTTTCGAGTGCAGTATGCCTGTGGGCGTGGGGAGGCTGGAGTGCTGTTTTAACAGCCATGCATTAAGCAAAGCTTGAAAAAAAGGAGAGAAATGGGATAAGAATCTTGAAAATGCATAGAAGTACCAAGAATAGCAAAACATTCAACCAAATAAATACATCAAACTCTACCTGCCTGCAATTTCCATACCAAGGTTCTTATTGCCAATGACAACAAAATTCTGAATTGTCCAAATATAAAAACCAAACAAAACTAAATTGTCACCACCATTAATGAAACCATACGAGAATAACCGACATGTTCTAACTCTGCAAATGACCCCCTGCTTTCAGTGTAGGGTCACAAGAATGAATGTCAGATGAATTTGATGTTTTATGGCTCAGTTATCAATCTCCATTCAACTAAATCTGAAGATTGTACTTGTTGGATCACTACAAACAGCAAATTATAACTTGGAAGACAAGAAAACTGTTACAATCAAAGGCAAATAAAAGGATGCCTAGCGTAGAAGATAAAAAAAAAAATAATAATAAAACAAAAAAGTAGAAATAATCGTGGAAACCCATATCACAATCAAGCAATGCATTCCACTGGTACAAACTTGTAGATCTATGATACACGAGTAAATCACTATAATTACACTTGGGACGAGAAAACGAGGTATGTCTGCTAGGTTCCTAGAGCAGCCCTGTCATCTGGCCCTGCAAGCATGATCTGGGACCCAAAAAAATTGCAGTTCAGAATCCTACTAGGTGAGAAAATAGAAATGGATTACAGTAAAAGAAACATGTATGTATTCTTATATGTCACATATGATGCTCTTTTAAGTTCGAGACTTACATTACAGTCAAATGCGAACCGTCTGGCGAGCATAATGGCTGCATTCCTTTCCCTCTCTGATTCGAATGCTAATACAAAGGACATCCCAACCTTTGCTTGCCAAAACATTGCCTGAGCAGCAGCATTGCCACCGCCTCTAACTCCACATAGCTAAAGGTTTAAAAACCAGTCTTAATATGAGTATCCTAACCATGGTCATATACATCAAAGGGGAAGAAATCAACATACCAACAAGTTAACAGACGATTAGCTTTTTACCAAACCAATATCTCATGAAGAAACAAAACCTTCGATATACAAGAAATACAAAAGCTAAACAAGTAACACCTACAGAAATAACACAAAAATACTATGCCATATGTGAAAAACTTGTTTTGCATTCAACATGTGGTTTCCAAAGAAGCTAAGAATAAGCCTACCTAAAGACACCAACAAAGTCAAAATCAGGATGTTCCAGTAACTAACAATATCAGGATGATTGCATGTCTTTGACGAACTGATTCAGCATGTGACCAAGTAATAATGTGGACCAATGCTACAGCTAACCATAAAAAACATCGTCTAATTAATAGTAATATCATGCAGTACTCAAATAAATTGGTTCTTGAGGACCATTTTATTGAATGACCATTGCCTTGGAATAAGGTAAGGAAGAGTAGGAGAACCTGTTCATTCCTAACACCGTCGAAATGTAATCTTAAAGTTTTCTTCGGATTTAATACCTACTAAGCAGCCATTGTGTTGTCAAACAAAAGACAGACCATAGACACATGCACAACATTGTACCACATGACCTCCAAAGAGAGATTTGCTTTCACTGCTTTGCCAATTTAATAGAGTCACGAAAAAGGGGGGAAGAGAAACTATATGCAAATTGCCTGCATTGAAGTGGAATAATATTCTTTGGCCACTGTCATCTTTCCTTTCCGAAGCTTCATTCTCATCTTTCCCACATGAAGTACATGGATGGACTTTGTTGGGTGGTCTACCCCATTCATCTGGGCAATAACTACCTGCAAAGCAAAAGATAAAACAATAATAATAGATTCAGACATACCAGCATCACTTTAATAAGATGGGAAATTTTCAATATGCCATTGCATAAACATCACATTCACTGTATTTAATAAATTTGGGCATAATATCTATTAGCAATGAAATTTCATAGACAAATGGGAAAAAAAGGAAAATGCCATGACATAGCCCAACACAGTAAGTATCTATCTATTAAATACAAGAGTTGATGTAAACAAAGAAAACAAAAGAAATATGAGCACTAGATTGAGTGAGACTATCAGAAAAAACCGAAATTGATCCAACCATTGTTGGCTCTAACTACTTTATTGTGGGCGAGAAAGATCAGGCGATTAATGAGAAAATCGAAGTGTACACTATAGTTGCATTAGTCTCCAATTTTCATCACATTGTATATAAAAATAAGAACTAGTTGGTTTAACCCACTGATGAACAACAGATAAAAAAAAACTTTTTTCTTTGATCCAGAATTTGTGGAACTGTGTGGGCACTGCATGCGCATGGGGGGCGCATGGAAGAAGTATCGGCCAACAGCAATACGACTCTGCTGAGTCATATCAGAAACGACAAATTCCATTTCGGGACCAATACACGTTTCATGGAAACCACGAGAGTCTCATTTGTCTCATGGTTTACTAGGAGACGTCTAGGACTCTTGGATGACTAGACCAAGTTTTTGAAGTCATTGTCCACAAATCTCAGTGTATCCTGCAAAGGCACGAAATGGCATGAATCTCTCATCATATCCAACTTCTTCTATCTCATTTCATGCATATCACCCAATACTGTCCCATGATGACACAACGTGTTTTAATGCTCTCCGACTCGATGACCAATACTCTAACCTTGAATTATGGACGGGTGTACCAGTGGCTGAGAGAGCAAACCCAATACAGAGACTTCTGAGTTCAATAGCTATTCTTAGATAGCAGAATAGCAAATGAAAGAGCAAATCAATTAGGCAGCAAGATTTGGAGGATGACGGGGAGGAATTGGAGGTGGGCACACCTCAAATAGCCATGAAGAAAGAGCTTCATACAATAGATATGTTGGATGGTTTGAAACTATGAATATAAAACAATATAAATTCTATCGTGATCCAAAATGAATTATCACATCTACAGCAACATCTGTTTGTTAGAATCTTTCTGTATTTTCTGCATCTAGCAACTGTTAGGAGCAAAAAAAACCCATTACAAAGAGGTGGTTGTGATAGACTGGAGCCTATGCGTCCCTTTATGGTTGAACTAGCCACCGACTTTTGTCAGATGCTGAGTAACTAAACGGAAAGCAGAAATCATATGACAATTTATCTAACACATTCTTATGGATTACATGGACTCACTATTTGGAGCTATTCCCGCTTTAGCAACTTGTTTAGTGCAAAGAGAGAGTGAGAGAGAGTACAAAATGGAAGAAGAAGAAGAAAAAGAAAAAGATCAGACAACACACCTATGAGTTGAGACACTAGATCCTAATCAATTCTATATTTCGAATTCAGTCAATGTTTCCCAATTAAAATAAGCCTAATATCTATAGGCTTCTCCCAGTAAGGTCCAAATATGGAAAGCAAATTAAAACTAAGCTCAAGTGTATGAAAACCCAAAATTAAAGAATTATAAATTTAATCCAAAACCAATCCCAACTAGAATCTATTTCAAATCTTGTGCCTTCATCTCACATGGACACAAATCTTTATCCAATATTTCTCCTGATCATCATCAATTTTCCCCGGTTCAACAAGACTCCCCTCTAGAGAATTATGGGAATAGAATTGGTCCAAAAGATATATATCAAGGTGACAAAAGTTATCTTCTATAATCCCAAAATATTCGGAGATTGAACGATCATTCTATTTGACAAAGCATCTTTATACACCACCATGTAATGAACCAACAATCTCATTCTCAAGTTTGGTAGTGGTGTTGAGAAGAAACAACTCCCATCCCCTTGTTTTGTAGGAACACTTCATGGGAGCCATGAATGTGCTCAATAAGGAAACAACTCATCCATATTGAAAACAAGAGTATACTCGTATCCAATGCAAGTCAAGCAAATAAGCATTGGGTCTAAGCCCATGGAAAATGTAATAAGATCCACCAACTCTAGTATGAGATTTCCAATGGGGATTCTTGAATAACGTTCAGGACAAACATATACCATACCAGGGTACTCTTTATAAATTCTTGATTTTTATAGTGACCGTCAACATCCAGTTACAATCATTATTGCCGAAAGCAACTTTTTCTCCTGATATTAGCATGAGTTCAAGAATTGAAGATGAAAATCAGGTGACAGATCGGGGGGAAAACCATGTACTATCTCAAAAGGGGTTATTGTCTTATAGACAAATTGACCAAATGTTTCTGAGGAAACTCCACAGTGGGCATTATTAACAAGTTACAGATGCCCAACTTATCATAACAAGACATCTAAGTCACCCAATCTACCATTAACTTAGTTTGACTTTGACCATTAATGTACAGATGAAAAGACAAGAAAAAAATTCGAGTTTGCACCAAAAAGCTCCCAAAAAATGTTTACCAAAGTAACTAATAAATTTTTATTGTGGTAGCAGAGAATCGTTCCAACCACGCACCTTCCAAATTCATGGCTGCGATGCAAACATCAAATGCGCACAATCACTCACTAACCACACACATCAATTAAATGCAGGTTTTACGCGGCCACGGGTATTCTTACACAAGTCAAGTCACATTAAATTAAATCAACTTGTGCAGATTGTAACTGAGAAACTTATTAAAACAGGATCACGATTCCATTTTAGAATATTTATCTTAGCATTACCCTTGCTACTCCTAAGACAGCTAGGAGCCATGATCCAATGTTAATTGATGTGGATAGATATCCTTGGATGACCCATATTTATCTTAGCATTAATTCATGGTTTCCCTGCTTCTATGATGTCTGATTGGGATGTTAAGTTTGTTGGTAACTTTTGGAGAACACTTTAGAAGTTTTTTTACAAACTTGAAATGTTCCTCTACTTTTCATGACTAGGCTCTCTGTCAAACAAAGGTTGCTAACGGAAGTTCAAGTTACTTAATTCAATGTACTGTAAGGGATAAAGAGGGCAGTTGGGACTTGTTCATGCCTACTGAGGAATTTGCTGACTACAATTCAATCAATGTATCTGTTGGTCAAAGCCCTTTTATGACAGTACATGGATTTTTCCCTCGGCAGCCCATTGAACTTATCCATTCGTCACCCATATTTTGTTTTCCCAGTCTACCAAATATTTTGCTCAGCACATCTGTGACCTTTATGTTAATGGTAGGCAAAAAATTACTTTTTCAGTAATGTATATTTAAACTTGTTGATGATCATCGTAGAAAATAATGATATAATAAAAGTAGCAGTGTGATGGTGCATGTTTGTCCTAAGCCTATGCAAATAATTCCTTTAAGAAATTGCACTCTAATGCAATTGAACACTATTTCATGATGCCTGGGCTTGGACCTAATGCTTATTCGCTTAATATACCATTGGCTATGATGATTAGTTATCCTCTCAATGTGCGGCGAGCCTCCCATAGTGCACGCAGGCATTTCCACAAGGGGAGTCGTCCTTTCTTCAGCACACTTACTCGTACTTCCACCACGGCCTCAGCAGCACCTATACCAACTTGGAGACCTACTTCAAGATGAGATTATAAGTATTTTCTATGTTAGATCAGCAATATCATCACGAAGAAAGCGAAAAGGGGTTTTGCACCTATGTGAGTCAAAGTCACAAGACATCGACTAATATTATGAGGCTTACTGTTAGAATTGAATCATGTAATTTCTTTAATTTCAGGATTTGGCTATTTCGACTTTTGTGTTATTTTTGTTCCAATATTTTGACCTTATTAAGTAGCCTAATGTATACCAGGCTTGTTGCAATTCGTATTAAATTCTTGAAATTAAGCTATTGTATACAGAATTAGAATGCTTCTCTATCTCATGTTCTTATCTTTCTTGTCCCTCTTTCTTCCCTCTTTCTTCCCTCTATTCTACTATCTCATTTCAATTAACAACACTCTGGTGCTGGTGCTAAATAAAAGACTTACTGAAATCATTAGGACAACATATGTTCACTTCAGTTTCATGCCTTCGCAATTATAGTTTCACTCATTCATCACTAAAAGCCATAAATAATGAGCACATCAGTTGCATCAACAAACTTACCAAGTTAAAAAAAGGAATTTTGACTTCATGACAAGGCTGATGCTTAATATGTTTCCATTCAAGAATACACTTTTTAAAGTGATTAGAAAAACATACATTAAATTCAATGTCATGCCTTCGCACCAATGCTTCAACATAGTTTCCCAATCCTGCAGCTGTTTAGGAAAACTGTCAGTCAGTAAGTTCAGTTTGTTTCAATTGTAACATATTAAAACATTGATAATTCAACATCGGATTTTCAAAATCGGAATTAAAAGAATTACACTAAAATCACATAAGCCATGTTAAAACCAAGGATCATGGCCAAACCTGGATCAATGGGACCAGTAGTTGTTAAAGTTATTCTCTGACCATCTGAAATTATATCAGCTTGTAAACTTCGACCAACATCAAATGGTTCTGGAGCATAAACTGCCTTGGTGGCCCCTGACATAAATGAGAGTTCATTAACATCAAGGCATATATAATAAAAGAACAACTTATATCAAAATTCTTTATTTAAGTATTAGAATGTTTATGTTACACCATCTCTTACAATTTAAGCTTTTAGAAAAATTGATGATTGAACATGGTTATAGACAGGAGGTCTTGTGCTCAAATGTCGCCGTAACGTTGATAATTATGAGATTGCATGTGCTTGGCCCAAAATCAAGCCCACACATGAGAGGCATGTTGAAGGATATAATATACTTATGTTACACCCGCTCTAATAAGCTTTTAGAATAGTTGGTGGTGCAACACTTTCCAACTCTCCTCTAATAACTCAAAGTATTGAAATGAAGATAATGATGTTATTGAAGTATGTTTTGGAGTTTGACACCGGTTGATTTCCCACCTTTTATCCCATAAATGTTACCAGTATTTATATTAACTCATAATAAAGTTAAGATTATAACAATACTCTCAATTAAAATAACCTAACAACCTACACTCCCCCTCAAGTTGGACTCATGCCCAACTTGCATAAATCTAAATGAAAAATTCTAATACTAAGCCTCTTAGTAAACATATCAGCTAGTTGTTCCTTCAACGTCATAAATGGAATATAAATTAGCCCATCATTTAGCTTATCTTTAATAAAGTGTCTGTCAATCTCAATATGCTTGGCTCAGTCGTGTTAAACCGGGTTGTGAAAAATATTTATGGCAACACAGGCACCAAGTCTTTCATTGAGGTTTTCAGCCACATAAGCTCACAAATACCATGAATCATAGCCACCACTGCTTGCTTCTTGCTCCGCCAAGTAACTAGATTTCATCCTACAAAGGTACAATAACATGTTGTTGACCTCCTATCCTCAATTGAGCCTGCCCAATCTGCATCTGTGAAAAATCTATTCTCATATGACCTTCTTTTGAGAATAATATTTCTTTGTTAGGAGATACTTTAGTATGCGATGAACTACCATTTGATGAGGAACCTGAGAAGCATGCATAAATTGGTACAACACTCACTGCATATGTTATGTTAGGGCGAGTGTGAGAAAGGTATATAAGTCTCCCAACAAGCCTCTGATATCTTTCTCTATCAACTTAATCAACTTTATCACTTTTCAGTTTGTGGTTTGTCTCAATAAGTGAGTCAACTGGTCTACAATCTAGCATGTTAGTTTCTTTCAAGAGATCAAAGATATACTTCATCTGTAAGATAAAGATGCCTTTATTTAACCTGGACACTTCAATCCCTAGAAAATATAGTAACTGTCCCAAATCCTTGATCTCAAACTCTTTAGCAAAGTGGACTTCAAATTTGGACACTTACTCCTCATCATCACCTCTGAGTATTACGTCATTAACATATACTATAAGAATTGAGATCTTACCACTCCCTTGTTTGATGAATATGGGTGTGATCTGCATGACTCTGCTTGAACCCAAACTTGACCATTGTATTATGAAATCTCTCAAACCAAGCTCTAGGAGACTATTTGAGTCCATAAAGTAATTTCTTCGGTTTACATACTTTTCCCTTTGTATCTGGAGAAGAAAACCACGGTGGAATATTCATATACACTTCCTCCTCTAAGTCCCCGCGAAAGAATACATTTTTTACATCTAGTTGTTATAAATCTCATCCTAAATTGGCAAAACAAGAGACGATGACACGAATGAAATTCATCTTCACCACTGGAGCAAATGTCTCTTGATAGTCAATGTCATATGTCTGAATAAACCCCTTAGCTACCAACCTTCCCACGTATCTATCCACTGTACCAACTATATTCTGCTTAACAGTGAACACCAGACATAAGCTCCCAGGTTTCATTCTTCCCTTGAGCTCTCATTTCTTCTACCATGGCTGTTTTTCACTTGGATTCTGCAAGCGTTTCATTCAAACTGTAAGGAAGGGATATAGAAGACAAAGACAAAACAAAAGCATGATAAGAGAAAGACAAGGAGTCATAAGAAACAAATTTTGAAATAAGATGTCGGGTACAAGTCCGAACTCCTTTTCGAATACCAATAGGTAAAGAACTATCATCAATAAGATTACTATAAGCAGGCTAATTACCTAGGAAGAGATCTCAAGAACTGAGTCTAGAGATGATGACAGATTTGGTGGCTCATGAGTGGTGATCTGCTTAGACTATCGTTGAGTATAGCATCGCAAATCCTCCATCTAATCTTCCATAAGCATCCTACTCCTCCTGAACTGGTGTTTCTCCCTAAGTCTCCCTTGACTAGATTTTTCTCCCTGACCCAAGTCCTGGTTAAAGGGTAAGAGAAGGAATCCATCTCTAGCATCTCTTCTTCAATATACTGTTCCCCCTGAAGAGATGGTAGAAGATTGGAGAAATATGACTCTGTCTTATGGAATGTCTAGGTTTGAGGATAATAACACTTATACCCCTTTTGGGTAGCAGAGTAGCAATAAAGACACACCGCAACACCTTTGAATCCAATTTTCCATTGGTCTTTCAATAATCATGTACAAAACACACAACCAAACACCTTTTAAGGAATAAAGTGACGAAAAATGAACCCTTGAAGCAACCCTATAGGAGTAACAAAATCAAAAACTCTCGAAGGCATACAATTAATGAGATATGCAGTAGTCAACACTCCATCTCCCCAAAAAGGCGGAAGACCATTCTGCTCAAGTTCCATAAGATAAGTCTGGTATTCTCCATTAAAGTATTCAGTCCCAAGAACCTTAATTTTGGCATCTAATTGAGTATTTACTAGTTTATAAAAATTCTTAAAACAAGTAACCACTTCATCCTTACTATGCAATAAATAAATCAAAGTAACCCGAGTGTAGTAGGCCATGAAAGTAACAAACCATCGATAACCAACAAGAGAAACAACACGAGATGGTCCCCAAACATTAGAATGAACAATCATAAATAGAGCAATACTTCTATTATTATTACTAGGATAAAAAGTTCTTGTATACTTGGCAAATTTACAAGCATTACAAAAAAAATTATCTTTATTACATTGTTTTATCAAAATTAAAAAAAATAATAATTCTCTAATACTCGTACTAATGGATGACTCTTTGATGCAGTTAAACAACCATCTACTCTAAAACCGTAAGCTATTGGAAAAACTGTAACTTAAGTATTTATGCTTCAGCACGCCCTTCACGTGCAAGCTAGATTTTGGACCTAGCACATGAAAATCTTTTAATAATTGGGGTGACAACGAGATTCGAACACTGGACCTCTTGCTCTAATACCATGTTAAGCAACAATCTATTTCAAAAATTTAAACTATTTCAGAGGGTATAGCTTCAGTATTTATACTTCAACAGATGTCATTAATGGAACTGTAGGAGTGCCACAGAACCAAAAATGTCTAACAAGGTTGATTCTCCAACAGAAATAAACTACTATAAACTCTACCACTGCTAATCATTTTCCCTATTTCCAATTTCTGAAAAACATAATGAGATCAAAAGAATGTTACAAAGCAATTTAGAGACTTTCTAATGCTATTGACTGAGTAAGTTAGAAGAAAAATAAGGTACATGAAGAACTGAAGACAAAGACATAGAAGGAGAACAACGAATGAAACATTTGATACAAATGACAATAAGTCATCTGCTACCATCACTTTATCTCTACTGCAAGTCTGCAACATGTGGAATAAGAGGAGCAAAAGCTTGAGTAACGTGTCACATATAGTCAGTGGTTTCGAAATCGATAATCCAAAGATTAAAAGAACAAAATGTCATAAAACCACAAGCTTGTATACATGTGTGAGCAAAGTTGAGAGCAACAGAAATGGAAGTAGGTGCAGAAGTATCAAGCCGTCAGCATCTCCTCCGTAATGAAGCTCACACTATCAGTACCAGTAGATAGAGATGGACCACTGAGGGTAGGATCAACAGTCTCGGTCACATGAACCCTATTACCACCACGTCCCCTAGAAGGACAACTATGTATCTTCCAACAATGGTCTTTAATGTGTCTTATTCTTCCATAATAGTTATATTTTAACAGATCATTTTTCATGCTCCCATTTTTACCATCACCACGAGACTGAAATGATCTATTTTCTCTCGATGGAATAGTTGCTAGAGCAGACCAATCATGAGAAGCAGTATGAAGCATGACACTCTTCCTGCTCTCCCCCTGCTGCACATAAGCATAAGCTTGTCTCAATGAAGGATAAGGATCTATACCCAGAACCTTTACACGGATTTGATCATACTCCATATTGAGGCCTACAATAAAATCATACACTCGTTCTTTTTCTATCAACCTTTTAAACTTAGCATTGTTGCGATCACAATCTGCTTGAAGATCCTAGTAATAATTCAGCTCCTGCCATAAACTATTCAATCATGCGTAGTATTTTGCCCGAATCATATCCCTCTATTTGGTTTCATGAATCTTCTTCCTGAGCTCATAAATATGGGCATCATTCCCAACCAGTAAATATGTCTGAGCCACCACTGACCAAATCTCATAGGCTATCTTAAAAAACAAAAACTACGACTAATGTGAGGCTCCATCGAGTTGAGTAACCATGTCATGACTAACGAATTCTCAAAGAGATCCATTGGCTAAGACCAAGTTCAAATTTGGATTTCTTACTTCCTCCTCCCCGGTATCCATTTAGCCCATTTACATGCGCTGATAACAGACACAATCCAAACCAGATCAAATAATTGGCCCTATAGAGAAAGGCTACATCCAAGAGTCCCTAAACGACTCATTCCACCTTTCTCAATGTTGATAGATTCTACACTAACTCCAGACATGTCTTCTTAGCAATAGAGAACTTTTCTAACACAACCCAACTACTGGAAAACAAAACCCAACAGCCTACACAAAACCCAACAGCCTACACTCCAAAAGGGACCATCACAAAGGCCACTAGTATCAAAAACACAAAGCTCAAACCTATAGGGCACAAACTAGTCGCTACCGAAGCAAAGTGAAGGCTGGAGAATCACTATTGAGGCCAAAGCACCACTGCCCAGATCAAATCACAACTGCTGGAGTAAGGAAATATCACTGTCGGAGCAACCCAACACTACTGGAGCAAGAGAATAACACTGTTGACGAAAAAACCACTGTCAAGATCATTAAATGCCCAGCAAATCAGTGGGTTGTGCTTGGAACTCCACCAAAGCACCTTGGGGAGTTGTGGACTTAGTTGGCACCCACAGGTTCCTTTAGAGTCGTTGGAATAGTCTAAAACTGAGTCAAATCGCAGATCGTGAAATATGATCCGAAAAATCCAAAAATCATTCAAAATTCGAAAAAAAACCTCAGATGACTTCAAACAATTCCAGAAAAATCACCGTCATACTTACGCGGCAAAACCGACTCAAACCATGTCAGATTTGGTCACTTCCAATGATGAAGTCATCATTCTAGCAATGGCATCAGCAACATAGCAGCCTCTCAATGCCTTCCTGAATATTCCTGCCACTTCGAACTTTTGTTTGATTGTTCTAATACCAAATTTAAATCTAAAGATCTAGAGTTTAGAGAGGAGAAGAGACAAGATTAGAGAGAAGAGAAGAAGATATTAGAAAATAGGATTGAGGAATTACCCAACCTCTCTTCTCATCACCCGTATTTATATTAACTCATAATAAACTAAAGATTACAACAATACCCTCAACTAAAATAACCTAATATTCTTAACATTAATTTATATAATAGTTTCTCTCGAATTCGAACTGATATCCTTGTGATTGCCACTCTGAGAATTTTCCCACAACATACACCAATGATTGCACTAAATGGTGGTACCATAAATGACCAAAAGTGAGAACTAAAGTAATCTTTTTTTGAAAATTATGTAGAAAATCCCTGAATTATGATTCATTCTTGACTCGGTGCCCTAAACCAAAGATCCAATAGATCATGCACATAAGGTATACTATAATACTATTGACAAAAAATAACCTATCTGTTAGCCTGTTGTATAGAAAATGAACGAACTAGCCGCATCAGTACTATCCCTTTACATTTATAAAAAAACCCTTCTTAATTCTATGAGAAATATGGTTTTGGAAATTCTAGATTTTCTACGCAAACTGATCTCAATTGAGTTATCATATACAGAGGGAACTGTACAATCTGTAAACCTAAACTTGTTTACATTGCTAGTTTCTCTATCATGACAATGTAATCAAGCAACCACAGTTGACACACATGCTACCAGCTCTCTATTTATAGATTAGAAAAACACAACCACCAGTTCCCCTCTCTCTCTCTCTCTAAGTGATTGCCATCTGCCAGCTACGAATCAATTACAAACCTTCTTTTTTCTCTAAGCATCACAAACATCACCTAAAACAATGCACCACATATGCATCTCTACCAAAAAAATTTCTTTTACTTCTTACTAACCAATTTAGAGCACGATACAAACTGAGTTGCCCCTCCTAACTCTCTCCTTTTCTCTACATAATTATCGAATATAAATACTCAGAGCAGGAATCAATCACAAACCTGTTCACAAAATCAGAAGCCAAAATAACATACAAATAATTTTTTATATAAACTACAAATTAAATGGAGTTCAAAATTTATAATGATACTCAGGAGAGGAACATTAAAGGACCATCAAAATAGGACAAAATTTGATCTTCCAACCTTCAAATCTGGACTTTGCATGTAGTTCTTTACTTGCATAAACACTTTTTTTAGCTAATGAGAAAAGAGTTTGGAAAATATCAAGACTAGTGCTTGTAAAACCCAAAAGCAGGGGATTGATGTTTAGAGATGGTGGAGGTAAGGCTTGTCGGATATGGGTAGGAAGAGCGATATTGCTTCAGAGACTAGTAGCAGGGAGGGCCGTAAGTAGCAAAAGTGTAATCTTGACATGGTGTAAAAAAACATCAATATCATTAACTATGCCCAAGAGAACTCCAGATCCTGAAATATCAAGGGTATAGCTAGTTGACATTCATACTTTAGCGGTGGAGAGGTAATTTTGTCACTTAGGCATCAGCCTTCAATTTCTTGACAACAAACCCGTGCAGAAAATGTACTTCGAATTGAAGAGAATGGAAACATAGGACAAAATAAGAAAGAAGAAAAACCTTAGTGTTTTGAAGCCACTGCATATCCAGATTATATGATTGGTGTAGAACTTAGATTTGTTTTAATTCTTTAAAACTGAGCTACACATTTACGAAAAGAACTTGGACTTCAGATTAGGGTTCACAACTATGCGAAGCATATATGTTCTCATAAGTAGCCATGTTCTGCAAAAAAGAATCACATCCCTTACTCCCCAAAAAATTGCATTTTGTAAGTAAATACTAATGTTACACCCTCTCTAGTAGCTCAAAATTTTAGAATAAATAGTGGTTTAAAAGGCTACCATAACTAGAAACCGTTCTACAACCTTCCAAAAGCACTCTTTTACCCTATCCAGGAGTCCTAGAAAGAAAGTAGTTATTGGCATCAATTCACCACGATTTATTCACAAGGTAGAAATTATCGTAATCAGAGACCCATTCTACAACCTTCCAAAGCACTCTCCTATTCAGGAGATCTAGAATGAAGGTAGCTACTGTCTGAAATTCCAGTTAATTTGAGGTTAATATTCTGCCAATAGCATATAGAGAAGTTAAAACGATCTAGTTTGCCTTGGGAAGAAAGAATAAATCTCTTAAGAGTTTCTTAGAGTGAGATGACTTAAATAAGAGGTGTATAAAGAAAAAAAAGCAATATTCACCACAGAATATCTAGATTCAAGCAACAAGAGAATGGCAGGGACATCAACTGAGATTAAAACCAATGAACCAATAAAGCGGTCTTTATACATGGACGAAGGAGAATGATTAAGCTCTGGCTCACTTTACAAATTTCAAGGACGGACTGGGAAAAACCACTGACAGCCCACCGTTTGCATCATAATAATTCAAGGGAGACAAGTCTAACCCCAGGAATCAGTTGTCCTCGACTTTCTTGCCAACATATGGTGAAAAAATCACCATATCTGGTTCGATTTGGAGACAAACATAGTATACTACTGAACTAATTATTCGTAGCAAAAATTAGCTCCAATTCCCCTATTCCAAATCCAATGACCAAAATGGATGAGACAAAGCTATATTTGTAAGTCCCAACAAGGTAGAAGAATTGAACTGAATCAAGACATTAAAGACTCATATCGGTCCTAAGTAGTACATTCATTGGTCACCGATGCATATGACGCCACTATTTCACTCAAGCTTTCTTTGTTTTGCCTTGTTGTTCATGACAATGATCCACTTCTACCATCCTACTAGTTGATCTATCCTTTTATCAATATCAATGTCACTTTTCTTTCTCTAAAAATTATATCCAGGCCTCTTCGCACCCAACTTATCTTCTTCGATATTGCAGTACCCTTTGTCCACATGCACAGGGTAATTACCAAGATAAATTGTTGGGAATAGCCCATTGGAGGTAAATAAAAGTATAGCACCTTTTCCTACCACTGTAACGTCTCAACATCTTCAATTTAGCAAGCAACCATGTTATGACACATTATTTCTCAAGTGTCACCATTTATTGCCATAATGTGTAATTGGTTCTGTAACTTTCTTGAATAATTCCCGCTTATTTAATTTATTTGTCAAAGCAAAAGCACAAATTGCCTTTTCAGTTTTTAGCTATTTCCTCACAATAAAATAAAATGAAAACAGTTGACAATGGTATCCTTAGTCATTATTATTATTATTTTGAACAGTGTGTATATGGGGAGGGGGTGGGTGAGGCTTGAACCTACAACCTTAAGGTCCAACGCGAGGTGGTTGGCCATTAAGCCACCACTGAATGCTCTTGGTCATTATTCATAACAGTTCACTCCTACATACTCCAAATGCTTTGATTGCACATTTGCAACGTTATATTGGCAACTTACCAAGCCATTCGTTACGGCACTTGGATTTTCTATAGGTTGTCTGCTACACATTTCATTGGACAGAAATATTTGAGTGGCGTGAGAAAATTGGCATGAAAAAATTGACAGTATAATGTGATAGTTTTTTTTTATATCTTTTTTTTTTTTTTGGGAAGGGGAGGGGAAATTGAACCCTTGATATCAAGAAGATAAAGTCTTCACACGAGAAGGAGTATCATTAGACTAAAGGCCCATTGGTCTAATGGTAACTGTGATAGTTACCTTCAAAATTATTATCACTATATTTCTATAATTCTATTTCATTTGAATAGTATCACAAGGAGTTCAAAGAGTCTGCCAAAATGTATCAGATTCAGCATTTTTCATTTCGATACCGTTCCATGTCCCATGTAAACCAAGAATCTCACCCGACTTATGTTTGACTCGGAGACATCTAGTTCGACGTAGTCTTATGTAGGTGGCAGAACATACTGCCAAACCCTTATGTTTCTTTAATTCAAAAAAGCTAGACCATAGTCCAAATAAGACTAAGTGAAGATCAATATCACAGTAGCAACATTCCCCAGAAGTCAAATTAAGCCATATATCCCAATAATTCTACAAGAGAAACATGGCCAAAAAAAGTATCTACTGACAAATGCAAGTTGAGAGAGGTCATTAAACCAGCATGCTGAAAAATCAGTGTATCTTCAGTGACGTGAATGGCTGATCAACATATAATCACCCTTTATTGAAATTATTGATATGTGGAGCGGTAGGTCATAGTCTACATACCTGAAATAAGCTCCTTTTTTCCACCTTCAGGTGCTAATCGGTACCACTGAATTGAACATTCGGAGAGTTCTGGTGCTCCATCAGACCAAGGTTGGATACGCAAATATGAACCCAAAGCCTCAGGACCATCGAATTCATATAAGTGTGATATGCTTTCGATAACCCTCTTGCTTGTTGCCAGCTGAAAAAGAAGCCACGGAAAACAGAGCAGAAGAATTTAGTGGCATATCTCCGAGATCTCAAGCTCTCAGCATAATACCATATAGCTTTCAATAGAACAGAAATGCAAAATCGAAAGACATCAGCCAAATGGAAAGGAAAATGGGTTTAGTAACGACACCCAGATGCATCAAAAAGTTCCAAAACAAGCATACTGCACTCGTATTTTACAACTTTTTTTGCAAAGTCAAACACCAACTATGGTGGCATAGTTGATGGGTAGTTAGGAACCAGATGTTCAGATCAAACTGTATAAGCTTTGTCAGTTGGAAGGAAAAAAAAAGTAAATTTCAATATGCACTAGTCAGTATCAACATGGTGCTTGGTTTTGAATCACATTAAGCTTTGATGGGGTTTGTTTTTGGATGGAAGAAATATACAAATATCCTTGAGAAATAATTTAATATGTTATCTGAAATTTAGCCAAAATAGACACACAGTAGGAGGGGATTCCAGCCCAACGTCATGCTTCTCAATGCATCTTTGGAAGTTGAGCATCTGTCAACCTTCGTCCAACTTTGTGGATAAGCAGAAGTTGAGTCATGTTGCATTAAAACTATCAGTATAATACTAATACCATTCAATATTAAATGGATGTGTAGTATGACATATGAGTGCAAATCCATACTTTAAATAGCTAGATCATGAGATTCGGGTGTTAAACATAGTAGTGGCATGAAAAATAGTTGATTACAGGGTATGGTAATGATCATCTAGATGAAATCATGCAACCAATTGTCTTGATGAAACTATGTCAAGAATAGCTAAACATATAAATTATATCCATTTCAAACAGTTACAAGTATATGCATGAGGATATCTATTACTCTATTCCACATTGCTAAGGTTCTACACTCAATAATACCCTGCATGAATGCAAGGACTATGGTCAATAAGGAGCTATGCATGGTGCACAATACTATTGATTATGTAGGACTGAAAAAAAAAAGATCTCATTGGAAGGAATACAAATCTGGTACAGGATGTTTTCATTGGAAGTTCTCATTCCAAAACAATGAAAGAGGAAGAATTTTACAACTATTATTTCAACTTCTGCAATTTATGTCTCTCATCCCAAGATATGGGCAGTAATTTCCCATATCAGCCAGTCCATACCCATCCTCGTTGAAACAGTTCAGGGTTTGCACTAGGTAAGGTATTATTCCCTTTAAGTCAACTCACAAGTCACAACCCATATGTAACCACAACCAATCACCCTGTTATCAGAAGAGTCTGTACTAATTTGTAGCATAATAATCCCAGAAATTCTGAAAAACCCCCAGGTTTTTAAGAAGACCAAGGTTCCAAACTAGGTTTTGAAACCTGAATCTTGTGGATAAATTTTAATAGTAATATTATTCAGCTTCAAGAAGATAACCCACTATAAATTTGAATGCTATGCCTTACAGACAGACACAGAATGTGAAAACCCATACAACCTCAAGGAACCTTAAACCATTCTAAGCACACTGCCAATGTCAAGAGAACTTCAATAGGGACCCTTGTAGAGAGCAAAAGAAGAATTGATATATATATATATATATAGACATATTAAAATAAACAAGACCAGTACTAAGACTAAATTCCGTTAGGGATAGTTGAAAATCAAGACATCTAGCAGTTCTTAATGCTTAAAACAAAACTAGTATTAGTCCCTAATAGGGTTAAAGGTTTCAATGCAACCTGTACTAAGTCAACTGGAAATTACTCGACACCAAGAGAAATATTAATATCTCCATATTGGTTTAGTACAAGTTGCATTAAAACCTTTAACCCTATTAGGAACTAATACTAGTTTTGTTTTACAATTAAGAGATACTAGATGTCTTGATTTTCAACAATCCCTAATGGAATCCAGTCTTAGTATTGGTCCTGTTTACTTTAATTACATTCCAAATCTATAATGGAGGTTTTAACTTTGAATATCCAAATATTTGATTATAAATATATGGATGGGACTACACCTGTTAATATTGCTTACAGAATTCATTATAAGGTACTACTACTCTGATAGAAACAAATTATTTAAAAAAACTGAATTGCTCAAAATATAGTTATAAAATGTAAAAATATTACTTTTCCAGAATCATGGAATTTACAATGAGTAATTCCTCCCCAACCTAATTAACAAGGAAATAAATCAAATTTCTCAGACCCCAAAGTGGATGCATAAATTCAATTTTCTTCTAATCGAATTTCTAATAAATATTGAAAGACTTTCTAGATGTTCTTTAGTTAGGAGTTTTGGTCAACCTAGGTCAAGTACCTCATCTCAACACCCTTATAGGGTGTCCCATATTTCATCCTCTTTTTCCGATAGGTCTCTAAACAGGTCTAAAGGAAAAGAACTGTTAATATTAGAAGGTGTTAAGCTTTCTAGACAAAATATTTTTCATGAAATTTATCATCATAATACATAGTACAATGAGCAAGATCTTGGATACTGCAAAATTCGATCCTACCACATCCGAAATGGAATTTCCATTATGAATTCACAACCTTTCAAAGCAGATAGGAAGCTAATAGCCTTTGAATTCAATCATCCTAAATAAGAAGTTTAGAGATTAGTATTTTACCTCTTTCAAAAAGAAAAGTTACAATATTATAAAAATCAATTTTATAATCAAATAGAATTGACTAAAGAAATTCTTCTTTTTATCCAATGGTTTTTATCATTTTACAAAAATCCAAAATAGGCTCATATAAATACACTTGAGCAATTTTATCAAAAATGGAATTCTGAGGATCATAAAAGCCTCCAATCAATTCGCCCCCCAAGAAGTTTCTCTTCAACCAATTAATAATGAGGATAGTGAGAAAATAATTTTGGAAACATCTACTTTTATTATTCCTAAAGCTAAAGAGGAAGATCTTAATAAGATCAATAAACAGAATAATTATTAAAAAATTTGTTTACAAACAATTAATTAAAATTAAAAATTCCTCCATAACCAATCATTCCTCCTCCTCTAAAACCTTGTGTTTTAGAAGAGGTAAATATTAAACCACCACCAGATTCTAAAGGATTTAAATAAAATCTTAAAAAATATGATGATGAATTTATCAATGCTTTACATGAAACACTAAAAGGCCTAAAAATTAAACCTGATGATAAAGAAAAATAATCTATAACCATTAATAAGATTAATGTTTTATCACATGTTGGAAATAATCTAGAAACTGAACAATCAGATAATTTAGAATTATTTGAGATTCAGCAATTTCAAAATTCATTGCAAAATATGCAACAATCTAATGAAATTACTAAAATTAGATTTAAACTCAAATTAAGAACTAATACTGCACCAAGGTCATATTCTCCTAGAGGCACATCTCAGGATATTTTATATGAAGAAAATTTATTCACAAGCCAATGGGAATATAGTGGAAAAATTATTTATAAATGGAATATTGATGCCTTTTCTGAATATCAATTTATCAAATCTTGCACAAAATGTTAATGTATGCAACTGTGTGTAGAACTAATAATAATAATGACCATCAAATTGCTAATTTTATTGTCTCAAGTTTTACTAGACAACTTAAAGATTGGTAAGATAATTGTTTAACTTTATCTCAACAAAATAAAATTTTAAATTCAACAAAGATAATCACTACTTCAATTTATCAAATACAGGTCAAAACAAAGTATATTTCTAATGCAATTTATACACTGATTCAATCCATAATTAAACATTTGGGTAAATTTCACACGCACCTCCTAACATTTGTTTTATTATAGGGAGACCCCTACATTTAAAAAATTACACTGAAACCCCAATAACTAGGCGTCATTAACAATGTTAACAAAAAGAACATTTTGCCTTATATTTAATTGATTTTTTTTAAAAAAAAAAATTGCCTAGAACCATCAGTTCATTACCCACGAACTCCCTGACACTCTCTCCCTCTTTTCTTTCTCTCTCTCTCTCTTTGAGAGACTAAGACCCAACGCAACACCTGCCCGCCCACGCCACCCACCCTCCCTCCCCACTGCCATAAATATTCATTACCAAAACCACAACCAGGAATCTAGTCGCAACAACGGATCCGACAAACAAAACCTCCAAAATCTAGTATTGCACGAAAGAGAGAAAAATGATATGCGATCCAAAATAATTTGCGATCAACAAATCCAACCCATGTTAGGTGGGCTTTGAAGAGGGAGGGGAGTTGAAGTTTTTCGGGTAATTGGTGGAGGAGAGATTTACTGTGAGTCATGGAGGGTAGGTGGATGTGTTGTGACTAGAGGTGGGGCGGTGGGCAGTGCTGTGAAAGTGGGGTGATTTTAGAGATTGTTTTATTTGTTAATGAATTATAAATTTAATTAACATGACTAATGTTTAATGAACATAATTACTAACTAAGATATTAATAAGCTAGATTATTAATCTCAAGATTATTTAAGTTAATGATTAAATTCTTAATCTATTAGATTAATAAAAAAATATGGTGTCAATATTATAATTAACGTATATATAAATGTGATGTTGGGTAAATTTGATTTTTAAATATAGTTTTATTTGAACTCTTCAAATTAATTTAAAAGGATATTCCTGGTGTTATGAAAAAATTAATTTGATGAGATCAGTATTTAACGTTATTCTTTTCAACGTCTGTTAGTCAAAAGGGTTGTGACAATCACAACTTTTATACGTCAAAGAGTCTCAGTGTAATCTTTAAAATGTGAGAAGGTGTCCATATAATAAAATTAAATGTTAGGGGATGCAAGTGAAATTTACCCTAAACATTTTATGTGGATTAATATTCAAAATACTGATAAAGGTGAAAAACTACTTATGAATTTTAGGTGTCCTACACTTCCTCATTACTCATTTCAGATGATAGAAGGATACTTATTTAACTAAGGTTATGATAAGAAGTGACGCTAATAGCGACTTTTGGAAAGAAACATTTATTTCTGGTCTTCCTACTTTGTTTGCATAAAATGTAAGAATAAAGCTTCGAAATAAACATTGAGGAATGATAATTCCTTACAATCAATACACCTACAGTGAACTTATTAGTGAATGTGTAAATGAAGGGTTAGCTTAATGTAATGATTTAAATCTTAAAGCTCAACTTAAAAAACAACACCTAATAGGAAAAAAAGAATTTAGTGAATTTTGCGATCAATTTGCTTATCATCTTGATCTTAGTTCGTCCACTAAAATCAAGCTAAACAAGACTAAAAAATATTTTAAATCTTATAGGCAAAGAAAAAAGAGAAAATATCAGGAAAATCTTTCTTTTTATAAAGAAGAAAAATAATACAGAAGTTAAGTGTTACAAATTTGGCAAATCTGGCCATTATGCTAATAAATGCTTAACTAAGCAAAAGATTAATGAACTTATCCAAGAAGATGACCTTAAGGCGCAAAATATTGCTTAATGATTCAAAAGACTCTTCCTCGTCTACTTATGACAATGAAAATTTTGAAATTAATACAACTACCAAGTCTAGAAGTGAAAGTGGTGACAATCACAATCAATGTTCTTCTTCATGTCAAGCTCAACAAGTTTATTATAAAGCTATATTTGACATGAATGGTTTAAATATTAATGTTCTTTCAAAATCTCAATCTGTGATTTTGGATCTAATAAATCAAATTTCAAATCCTATAGCTAAAAGAAGTCCTATTGAAAAATATTTAGAAACATCTAAAAAGGAACAATCAGAGAAAGAGCCATTATATGAACAATCAGAGAAAGAACCATTATATATATATATATATATATATTGCACACACATTAATGTGCAAACTATCAGTGCATCGCAATAATAAATTATTAATGGATCAATGGATCAAAGCAAGCTAAAAGCCTAAAACTAAGGTAACCTTTGCACTCACACTTCAATTATAAGGACAAACAGAAAGAACCACCCACAAGTGTATGAAACATGCATTTGCAACAAGAATAAGGGAATGATGGCCTCAAGGATTGGCACCAAGAGATATAAAATTAACTCATAAAGCAGATACAACTGGTATATAAACCTCTTTCTGGAGCAGAAGCGAACGCTTAGACTTTTCTGCAAGCTGAATTCTTAAAGCTCGAAGCTCATGTTCCATGTCCATAACCTGCAAAGTAACGCTAAAATTACTCGAAACAAACAGCCAAGTAAACAGCCAAAAAGAAACTTGAGGAAATAAGTACTAACACATTCCCATGCATACCGCAGAAATTCTGCAATATTAATATTTTGGCATTGTGTACAATCTGTACTGTGGTGTACTGATCCAATGATGCACATCATTGTGTTGACATACTTGGGGCTCTTCTGGAAATCTTGTTCCAGTCGAAACAAAGCTGTAGAGTGTAGAGATTGGTGCTCAGCCATAGCAGCAACCTAGTTTCCTTGTTTCCCGCAAATTTGGACCCCTAGGCTTCCAAACTCACCCAAAATACACACGTGTTCTGAGGTCTTTTTTGGGGCTCTAAGTGATATTGTAACTATATATAGGTCCGGTCTACAGGGATAACAGTTTGCATAAATTCAATAGAAGGGAAGACAGATAAAGAGAAGAAAAACTAGGTTTTAACAGAGACAAAGAATTTGTGTTTGATAAGTTAGGGACTGTGGACCGATTGTAGAAAAATAGCAGTTGATACCAGGGAACAGTCCTTCTCAAAAGAAAAGTTTGAACCAGGCTTCGAACGAACGCTAGGAAAGCAATAAGCACAATGTGCTTCAGCTTTAAAAAATTCCATTCAGGAGATGATCGTTACCTCCATTTTTAAGATCTGTTAATTATTCTCCAGATGCTTTAGCTCACAAAATTTACTTCATCGTGATTTGATAACTCCGGCCTTTGATATACTGTCCCTTGCTCATAGAGCATATTTTTGGTGGATATGACAGGTCTTTCGCAACGTGGGTCAATAAATCTATGTTATATTGAAACTAACATGTTCCATAAGTGTTTCCCATTTCTAAAGCAGCTTCTATTTACTTTATCTTTAAGTCTTACAAAGATTAATTGCACTTATTTTGTCGCAGTGGATGGTTCTAAATGTTTTTACTCTAAATCTTTTCTTTATTGGGTGGTCGAGCAAACATTTAGATTGAAGTATCAAAGCTTTATTGTGACTAACTAATGAATAGTTTGCTTAGTTAATGATTTAAATAATGTCGAAGGATTGTAACCCATAAGGTTTGAATGGTTGCAACTCAACATTTAATTCTTTGGAATGTAGAGGATAGATGTTATTATCTGTGGAATATAGCGTTCCGTTTATTTGCTATTTTGACTATAAATAAATTAATGCATCTAAATGCATGGTTTTTGGATTTGGGACAGGAAATTAATTATACTCAAAATGATCCCGGGGGAATTACTTGAAAGGAGTCTTGGTTATTTCCTACGGAAGAATTAAACAACAGCAGTTTCGTGATGAAAAATATTTGAATAACAAAATGGTTAGATTGTGTATAGTGCTTTTTATCACATTTAGGATTCATTAGAATTCTTTTTATGTTCTCTTTGTCACTCTGCTGCTGCTTTAGCTTCATTGTATGATATTCAATGGTCTACTAACTTTAGTGTTCGAGAAAGCAGATAGAAGTACCTTGCTAGGTTGATGCAGCATTTTGATCCGTCGAGCCTCTTGAACCTCCTTCATTAGTTCTTCCAAGTCCTAAATATTTACCATAAAAACCTTTATTCAATGAAAAGATGACAAGTTAGTAATACACATACATGCTACAAACTTGATAGCTTTGGAATACAATACCACCCGATGTTCGAAAAATTGTATTTGTAGAAAGAAGGAAAAGGACTACAAGAGCCTAACAAAAGGTCCAGAAAGAGGAAGTTGATAGACTATGCAATTATCTTCCTTATAGAAGCAAACAACACATCTACCACATTAGCACATAAACAACAATAATATATGTTCTTGCAAAATATCCACTGAAGTAGTTGCAAAACCTAAACAAAATGCCCAAGTATGCGGCATTTTACATTCATGATGCATGCAACTTATGATTCTACCTCACACATCTGGCTTACAGGGCTGCAGGAAACATGCTAACCTGTTTTTCAGATAAAAATGAAATTGCTCACTCTAGATTTATTAAATCTAGCATGATGTTACCATAGACATTCTCCTAATTATGAACAGTTCAGGCAACTTGACAAAAACATAAAATGCATGAACCACAGCCATAGAGTCATCAAAAGAATTGTACAAAAACAATAATGGAAGTACAATATACCATGAAGAGTTACAGCATTTATATAATAGAGTTTAAAGTAACATTAAGAAGAAAGACAAGTGGAATGAAGTGAGATCTCAAGCACAAAAAACTGGAAGAAAAATGCAAAAAGTCATAGCCGCATCAAAAGGCAAGGTATACGCGATCTAAAGACCTTAGAAAAAATTCAAATAAAGCACATAAACCTGCTTCCCTGAAGCCCGAGACACCCGTTCATGTTCCTGAAGAGCCTCTTCCACTCTTTGAACTGCTGCTCTGGCATCCTCAATTTCAGCTCGAGCAAAAGCTCTTTCTTCATCAACAAGTTTCTTAGCATCTTCTGAAGCCTGCAAACAGAAAAGTGTTCAAAGAGCAACATATAAAGAAAGAAGACAAAGAAAAAACATAATGAAAAAATGTTGTGGTGGTGTGTGTACTAACTCGCCATATGGAATAATCGCAGAAAGAGAGATGATCAACAAAAAAGGACACAGAAAAACCAACTATTCACAATATCAAGAATAGATTGGGTTGTAGAAAGAAACAATGATGACATAAGATGAGAATTCAATCCTTGACCCAGTCCCTCTTCTAAGATGTCATATTAACACTTGCACCTCTGTTTATACCGCTGCACCAAAGAGGAAAAGAAGTGTTCCTCAAGATGTAGAAGATAGCATGGATCTGGTAGAGAATACCAAGAAATGGGGTGCAACATACCAAAATGTACACAATATTCCTTTTCTTTTCTCCTCTCATAATCGTTATGTTCATCTTAAAACCCTAGAATTTCATAATCTAACTTGGCATCAAAGCTTCATCGGAACTTCAGGGCTTAAGACCCGTCGGAACGCGTCAGAACAATCTGACAGATTCACAGAATGCTGATGTCAGCATCTGACCTGCTGTCAGCACTGACCTTGTTCGATTTGATTGAAACACGCATGATTTGATTCCCCTATATTTTTCAAGAATAATGGTCATTTTTTAGTATTTTTATTTCTTAAAGGAAGTATTTTCTTGACCTTCTTGAAGAGATAGAGATATGATGGACCGTAGACCTACCGATTCTCCCATTGAAGCTGCTCATCAATTGAGTGGTGGTGTTGGTGGGAAGGAACAAAAGTCTATCCCTCAATTGGGGTGGTTTTGTTGGAACTCTTGCCAACCGAGGAATCTAATTTTCTAATACCACATAATTTGGGAAACATGTTTCACATAGGATGTTTTTGTAAAAGGCTGCAAATGACCAACAAATAAAGTTAAGAGGCAGTTGTATGAATGAGGCATAGGAAATAAGCGGTTCTCGTTCTTAGCTCATAGTACCATAAATGCAATCACAAGCCACATAAAAGCCCTTTACAGATTCAACTTCTCAAAAACCAAGTTATAGTTGCAAAACAATTCACAATCCCCATGATGCTGCCAGTTCTGCCTTCCTAATTAAGGCATCTGTGACTGGTTTCTTTATCAATTTATGATCACTAGTGCAACCAATAAGATGCGAACCCAGATGAAGTTCTGACCATCTGTCAAAGAAGGGGATCTTCTCCTATTTTGTATCTCTCTTTTAGCCTAGCTCAGGAGAAAGTGTGAGAGATGTTTGTAGATAGACAGTCCAAATGCCAAGGTACCATGAAAGAAATGAGATGATGAGATAAGGGTATAAAACATTGATAAACATGCCTACCAAAGGACATGAATCATAGAGGTGTCCACAAAAAGAAGCCACTAAAATATTCCTAGTTCACTAGATCAGATGATTATTTAAAAGTGAATGAAAAATTTTCGAGCATGACATCTATAGGAAAGAGACATATCGGTCCAGGATTTCCTCCAAGGTAGTCTGGATGAATATTGGACAGTTTCAACTATCTAAACTGATGCATGTCACTAAGTCCCAGATGGTAAAGCTCATTATGTCCATGCCAAGAGATTAGATATTGCAGACATGTGGAAACGAGTCAATTTCAACTATACATAGGCACACAGGCCCAATCAGACGGAAGTTGAATACCTTGCTCAACTTCTAGGTATAAAAACTTTCGAGAGCTTGGGACTCAGAGAAGATCTTAATTCAAGGCTTGCAGAAGCCTATAATGCAAAGAGATCATGAATGAATATAATGGATACGGGCACAAATAGCACATGCCCAACATGACAAAGTTTAATGTTCTTATAAAGTGCTTGCCCAGAGTGAAGCACTAAAATTAGTCCGCAATGGGCCAGATCAATTTAACCATGACGCATACCAATCCATAAACACAGAGCACATTGATAATATTTCATAGGCTTTAGTTTTCACCTACAAAGAACTAAACTCTGTACAAACAATTGGTCCAGAATTCATTAGTTTATATTTAAACTTTGTACCAGTAATTCGACTGAAGTCTCTAAAATCATCAAGAAACATTTTCCCAAAATGTACAAACCTTTCGTCTGCCAAACTACAGATGCGAATGCATCAGCTTATTCTCAAAACCAAAAAAAAATTTAGAAGTTTAAAGTTTTGCTCAAGAAACACACTCATTTTACCTGCTTCAGAAAACTTGCAAGCTTTTTCACTTCTGCCTTCTCTTGAATTAGTTCTCCTTCCCTTTGAGTTAATTGAACCGCCAAAGCTTCAACCTGAAGTCATGGCATGCTTATAGCTTGAGTCACATTGAATGATACATCAGAGGAATTTATCATTATAACCTCAGATTCTGACCATCATTCCAATAGGAATCAATTTATAGGAATTTGTTTCTTTCTTAGCTACATAGAAAAGATGTAATATCTCAGAGAATCAAACATTTAAACCACAAAAATATGTGGGATAATATATTCAAGAAACTGTAAAAGGAAAATCCACCAAATCAACCTCGATGTATTTCAAATCAATCTCCTAAAAATTAGGAATATCATAGAAACAGTCCGATAAAACTCCTATATGATTTTCTTCATATGATTCCACATCAACACAACTGGACCATGCCCTATGCTTCCACTTCTTTCCTTCTCCCTGCAAGCAGCAAATTTTGCCACCAGTGCAGTTAAAACCCCTCCATTTTTCTCATGGTTCTACAATATCCTGTTTTCCATATGTGCATTCAACAAATCGAACTATTGGTTTCCTTCTCATCAACATGATCATATAAGATGGTAATGCCATCAGTTGAATTATCGTGCCCATGTTTCCCCATGAATTTCCAATGCTGTGGTTCCATAAGAAGACAGACCAGAAGACCAAGAAGCCTAACGAATTAAATGGAAAAGACCAAGCTCATTTCCCCATTGAGGCCCAATCTGAGCCAAAGGAAGCTTTGGTTTGTGGAGGCATTATTTTTCTGCTTTTAGCCCATAAAAGGCTGTTTCAGGTCTAAATATTTTCATACTATACCACTATGAGGTAATTGAGATGCAAGGATCTTCCATTAAGGGTAAAGAAAGCGTCTGTCTGGTCCTGATAAAAGAGAATTTCTTCGATCTCTAAAGATACAGGAAAAGGAAGGGGGAGAAGGGGAAGCATAGGGAGTACTGTTGAGAGTACGTGAGCTATGCATTATATCATCACTGGAAAATACTTTATTAATTCCTCAAATGGGGTGCAGTGTCACACATAGGAAACATACCTCAACGAGCGTCTAGTAATGAGTGAAGCATTATAGTAGAACTACCGTTTCCTACACTCTATAACATAAGCATAATGTAATATGTGCCTGTACATAAGGATTTCCGTGAGAGAAATAAATGTCTTTGTAAGTATGGAAATAGTTTATGCAAAGGATAGGACTTGATGTTTCCATCTAATATGCCAATAATGTATGCAAGGGTAAGATTTGATGATATATCCATCTAATACAGTGTATACATCCAGCATCATATAGGCAGAGGTTTTAAGTGCCAGAAAGACAAACAAATAAAACTGGTTTTTCTTTATATATGAATTACAATATCTATCATGTTCCTGAAGGCCGTGGAAGTATAATCCTTTCAAGGAGGTATGGAACCCTTAAAACTTCGTTCAAAACATCTTTCTGGTTGGAGTTTACACAACCTTTTTTTAAGTTTCCCTTGTTGCAAAACACAACCTTACTATTTGTGGAACCTTAATATTTAACAAATCTATCTATCATGAATGGGCATTACACGGTCGAAGTTCGGCCATTTAACCAGAAACAAGTCCTGACTAATGATGCAACAAAGTAAAAATTCCAAATACCCAGTGAATTTTTGATGCAATAAGGTTTTGGAAGCTTGAACATCTAGAGTTCTAAAGGGCGTGAGAAAAATTATAAGTTTCTGAGATGGAAAAAATTTGGCATTGGCTTTATTTTCAAAAACTAGTTTGCTGGAAGTCTAGATTACTGTTTATCTAAAATTCTGGATGCCAACTATTGCAGTGCGTAAGTGTATAAAAAACTTCAGGGAAAAGCACAAGGATCAGACTGTCACAGAATTATGAACTTGGAATGAAAAACTAACGATATAAAAGCTTGATGTAGTTAGAATACAGAGATGTGATAGCAAGAACAAGAAGTAAGAACACAAATCTTTTAAGAATCTCAAATTGAATTCTTTTGGCTCCAACCCGGAGGTTAGGCTACACACCCCATGCTTCTTCCAAATCCTCACAAACCAACTCCATACAAGAAACAATCTTTCCTACTTTTACTAGCACTAGGACCCTGACATCGTAAACTATAGAACTTTGACTATGGAACAACATATGAAGACCTGCAACCTTTGACACATATTAGCCCTTGTTTTTATGATTCACCAGGTAATGCTTTTGGTTAGACCTCTTGTCCACCTTCACTATTGTACTACTATATCACATCAATAAAATGTTTCTTCTCACAAGGAGCATGTATTAACCCAAAATACGACTTGTGGACCATAACAGCAGTCCATGTCTCGCAATCTGGGGTTTATCTGAAATGTATTGTGATCCGATTCAATACAGTCCGACTCTGACCACACAATGATTTTATGCAGGCATCTACAGTATTTCACAACTAGAAAAGGATAGTGTAAGTGGAGAACATTCGAAAAGTAAAAGAGGTCTTGGGATCAACTCCCTGTAGGAGAAGAATCCACTGTGCCACAGATATAACCACACTGGAAATCTGTACACCGTGATTCACTCTAACTCAGCTCAGCTTCTGCCTAATACAACGGACAAAAGCTCAGTCTGAAATCCTTATGGTGCTATTTCAATAGCCTGTCCAATATGCTCTTCCAACATTTGCTGAAAGCTAAATGCTTGTTCTGGATCTTGTGAGAACTTGTCATGTTGGGGACAGAAAAAGCAACAAGCACAGATACATGATCTACCACTTGGTCTTTAAACAATCCCTTGAAGAACTCATGTTGGGGTCTAGCACAAGAGTTCAGTGGTCAAACGAAAACTTTTGTCGTTCGGCCATTTTGAAAGAAAAGTTACACACCAATTCCTTATCAAATCGCCTTGAATTTTAAAAGTGGAGGGAACAATCAAATTCTTGCTCTTTTCGTTAGCTTTGATTCCTAAACTAATCCGAGCAACCTCCGAATCAAAGATTACAATTAGGATAGCCTCTGCATGGTGTGGACTCCAGTTGTTTGGTTGAGTTTGTTTTTTTTCTTCTTCAACGCACCACCCCCCAAAACAACCAAGTGCACAGGGCAGAAATTGGAACCTTGTCATTGCTTTATCAGTGTCCTTAAGAACAAATTTAAATTTTGGCACAATTAGTTCCTCATTGCATCTTGTTTTACACATTCCATTAGGCACCTGTACACAGTACTCACAGCGGTAGTTAACTGAAATGTTTACACCTTCAAATACCGTAAGCTGGCAGGGGGCTTTGCAAGTACCTAAATCAGATACCGAATAATCTGCTAGGATTTTACAGAGAACTTTATACTTATGTAGATCAACAGTCTTGCCTTTTGCATAATATTGGCACAAGGAACAGCTGTATTAAGTTACCCCGCGTTACATGTGGCATGACATTGCTAATAAGAAAATTTCTCAGGAAAGAACAGATAATAGATTACTTAAAAACCAAATACAAAATTACACCACAAAACACAAAAAGCTTACCATAGCAATAGCCTCCTCCACATCATCCTTGTTTTTACCTGCCACGCGCCCTCTCAGAGCTTCAAGTGAATCTCTAAGCTTCTTAAGAAGCACATGTTTCTCCAATGAAGCAGCCTCTCTGAGTCTAGCCTGGAGCCCAAAAATGTTAGTCTTAATTTTGGTAAACAATGTCATTCTTTCATGACGTCAATGCTATTGACTCTTCAAGCAAGGGACGTACAGTGACTAGAAGAAATGTGCCTTGTACACAACACACCAAATGATATTCCAAGTGAGGTCTTACATTTAATTCATGCTACATTTGTTTATACCAAGGATTTCAATATTTCTGAGTTCTAGATTTCTTGTCGTGGAGTAGCCCAAAAAATAAAACCTTTACTAAATAAAACCCAAATATGACTGACTAGCAGGGGCAACCACTTTGAAAACTCAGCAATGAGACAACATTATATGATAATTTGTGTAATGTCAAGAAAACAAGTAAACGAATTTGAGACATGTAGAAAAACTAGGCAAGGCCAAACCTCATCAGACAACTTGGCAGCAGCAGCCAAACCCCTCTCAAATTTACTGGCAAGATCACGAACTGAGAGACGTTTTTGCTGTTCCAGCAACTGGGCAGTCTCTCGCGCAACCACCTCTTTCATGGATAACACCTTGGGATCCTCTTTCACCTCCACAATCTGATTGTTTGCTCCAATTTTATAAGTAGGAAACCGGCTAGAAGTAAAGATCACATCAGCTGAGACAGGTGGGACTGCATCTTTTTGCATCGTATCACCAAAATCACGGCCTACCCTCGTCATTAGTTCCAATTCAAATACCTTGTGGACCAGCAGATGTAACCTAAATAATCCTTCATTAACTATCAAAACTCTTACAAATACTTCTAAAAGGAAAAAAATTAACCAAATGTTATGGTGAACCAACTTCTTAACCTCAAATTCTAGTGAGGGTCAGTGTCTACCAACTGAATTAACTTACATTAGGCAATAAATCTGAAAAACCCAAATCAAACTACAATACTTCTGCTAACATAGAGAAATACCCAGCATAATATTCAACTTCTATCAACATTCATACAGATTTTAAGGTTTAATACTGAGAAAAGTTTCCATTAGAAACAATGATCCAAGGCCATAGACAATTTACATAGATACTTATGCACATATAGAACCGAGAGAGAGGTTAAATTGAAGATTAATTAAAAAGCTAAAGTAAAGAATTATTACCCACCCAGAGAACCTCTGAATTCAAAGTCAATTTAGAACAGTCAAGATGAAACCCAACTTCATCACATATTTTGAAAGATCAAACAAATAACAGAAAATACAGATAAAGCAACAATGAAGACAAAAAGAGGAAGGTTGTACTCACAGATCATGTAAATATGGCAGCTTAAGGAATAATTAAACGGAAAATTTGGTCCTTGAAAGATTCTTAGATCAGTTGCGGCCACAGCCAAGTTTGAATGATGCTTTCAGATAGAGTTTATACGTAGAAAAGTAAAGAAGAAGAAGAAGGTGAAAGATGGTTGCTTGCTTTTCAAAAGCAAAAGGAAAGGAAAAGCCGCCCTCCCTCTCCCTCTCCCTCTCCCTCCCTCCCTCCCTCTCTCTCTCTCTCTCTCTCTCTCTCTCTCTCTCTCCTCTTGTTATTCATAATTACTGTGTGAAGCACTTAAGTTTTTTTTCCAGTTTCTGAATTAAATTTCAGAGACACCCCTTTATTCTATAAAATAACACAAAGGTCCTTTAACATTTCGCAAACGGCAAAAAAATCTTTTATCATTTTTTTTTGTTTTATATTTTGACAATGAAAAACCTCTTTTAAGTCCAATCACATTGGACTTACCACTTCAAAGTGAACTCTGAATACCTAAAATCACTTGCTAATTATATTTATTATGATTAATTAAATTGGAGGTCCTTAAAATATGTAGTTTGTCTCAATTTAATCTCTAATGTTCCAATTACATTATTTTAGTCCTGAAGTATTGAATCTGTTTCTATATGGTCCTTTAAGCAAACATCATCCAGATTTTTAACGATTGTTTATCATAAATTTATCACGTGATACTTAAATATAGATAAAAATAATAATTTAGATAACTCTTAACCTAATGTCTACTCAAATTTTGGTTAAATAGCTACATAAATTATATAATTTTGATCATTAATTACCCAAATTTTAGTCAAAAACTATCTATATTATATATTTTTTTGTTAAGAGATACCCAAATTTTGTTTAAGAGTTATCAAAATTATTTTTTTTTCATATTTAGGTATTACATGACAAATTTATGATTAAAAATCATTAACAATTTGGATGTTGTCTGCTTGAATGATCATATAGAAACATATTCAATACTTCAGGGATTAAAATAATGTAATTTAAATATTAATGATCAAAATGAGACAAATCTCACACCTTAGGGGACCTCTAATGCAATTAAACCTATCTATTAATTAATCTCAAAAATTATTAGTGCATGTTAACCCAAAAATGTATAAGTTTATAGGTCAAACAAACTAATTTCACACCACCAAAATACTTGTGCATGCTAAAAAATTTTATCAAATTGTTAATTACCTGTCTTCGAGAACAAGAGTGCACAACTTTATTGTTATTTGATAAGTAACAGAATAAATAAATCAACAAAAATAAGAGCAAAATATGAGATTTAAAGCTTATATTTTGTTGATATTAAGATGAATAAGGTATCTTTGTCATAATTCCCAAAAAAATCATAGATTTTTACACTGTTTTTCGTATATGAACATGTTTTGTGTAGTTTTACTAAAAAGTTTGGGGAAGTAAGTGTTAATTTACCATTATTTTTTTCTTTGTGTTTTTATTGTTTTGGAGGGAGCATATGTACTCGTGAGCAATTGAGTTTTGTACTCATTGGTGATGTCTGTTGTTGCTTCAATCTGAAAAAAAAACTCTTCAGTGGAACCCACATGATTTTTATTTTTTTGGGGTCTCAAGGGGACCCACATGACTTTAATTGTACAATTTTCCCCTCAATTTTTAAATCTCCTATTAAATTAAGTTAGTAAAAATGGCCAAAATGATGCAGTTATTTACGGACACGTGTTAGTAACAGACGACTGTGGCGGAAGTCCCACGCATGTACGTACATCCCCGTGACTTTAGTTCGCTTGTGACTTCCTTCGGACCTTCGAATGGTTGACCGAAAGAATCTAATTTTGGGTGCAGCTCGTCTGCTGCTCACCAAAGACTAGCATTGTGTGCTGTCCTTTTAAACGGCATCATCCCACTAAAAAACCTTCAGCTCACAGTAAAAAAGTTTGCACAGTAAAAAATTCTAATTTTTCAGTACTTGTCAAATCTTGCAACACAGTAAATTATTCACCACCTCCTCTGTATACACAGACAACAACATCCTCTTTACACACACATATACAATTGAATACAACCTTTTACACAAACGGTCAACAATGTTTGGTCTTCTATAACCCAACACACTGAATTCTTTATAGGTTTATCATTTTTTCAATTTTTTATTTTGCTTATTTCCATAGAATATTATGATTTTATTTTGTGTGTGTGTATATATATATTTTTTTTGACTAGCCCCGTGTGTGTATATATATATATATACATAAAAATAAATATATATATATATGTATGTATGTATACATAAAAACAAATATATACCCTTACACTGTTATTTGATTCCTAAATTAATCCATTTAATATTATTTTGGTATAAATTTCAATATTGCTATAATAGAAACTCGTTATGTGCCAACAAAATTTTGGTTGCTACTTGGTTTTGGTATTTTTATATCAAATACATTACATTTTGTTAATCTAACCAAGCTACAATATTTTAGGATTTTGACGGTAATTCATTGGTTTTGATCCCTGGTCTTCTGAACTATAATAGAGTATACCATGACTAATGTACCTCAGAGCACTCCACATATTGGTATGCACTTTGACTTAGAGGAAGATGCATATGTATTTTATAACAACTATGGTGGCTCTATTGGATTTAGTGTAAGAAAAGATTATCACAATAAAAGTAAGAAAGATGGTGTATTAATATATCGGAAATACGTTTGTTGCAAATAAGGGCAAAGAAACTTGGATAAAAGAGATTGGAAAATAGTGAAACCTTGAGCAGAGAAACGTACAAATTGTTCAGCTCACATGTGTGTTTCCCTTAATCGGGATATTGGAAAATTTGTTGTAGTGAAATTGGATGATATGCACAATCACCCTTTGCACCTTAGTGAATGTGTGCATATGATGTCATCTCAAAGAAAGGTTACTACAATGCAGGGCATTAATGTGGATATGGCAGAGGATTGTGGGATATCAATCAAAGCATCATATGAACTTATGAGTACCCAAGCAGGTGGAAGGAAAAGTTTAGGATTCACTTGGCAAGACCAAAAAAATTACATCCGTGAAAGAAGGCAACGAGAGTTGATATACAGTGAAGCAGATAGTTTGTTGAAATATTTCCAAACTAAAGCGGTTAAAAATCCATCCTTCTACTATGGAATTCAATTGGATGTCGATGAGAGAATCACAAATATTTTTTGGGCTGACCCAAAAATGATTATTGATTATGGTCATTTTGGAGATGTTGTCTCATTTGACACAACATTCCGAACAAATAAGGAGTATCGACCATTTGTATGTTTTGTTGGTTTCAACAATTTTAGGAAGACTGTGGTATTTCAGCCTGCATTGTTATATGATGAAACGACAACATCATTTCAGTGGTTATTTGAGACATTCCTACAAGTAATGTCTGGGAAGAAGCCTATCACTATATTTACTGACCAAGATCAAGCAATGGCCAAGGCTATATCCCAAGTGATGTCAGAGACATATCATGAGTTATGTACTTGGCACCTTTCCTAAAATATTTTAAAACATCTTGAAAATATATATAAGGATGGTTCAAACTTCGTCACCAAATTTAAAGAATGCATTTATGAATGCGATAAAGAACATGAACTAGTTGAAGCTTGGAATTCTTTGCTTGATGAGTACAATTTGCAGGATAACATTTGGATGAATTCGACATGGGCTTTGAGGGAGAAAGGGGCTAAGGTATATATGAAGAGAACATTTACGGCAGATATGAGGAGCACCCAACTTAGTGAGAGTATGAATGCAACATTACGAGGTTATTTACAACCAAACCTTGATATTGTTCAATTTTTCACTCATTTTAATAGGGTTGTAAATGATAAGAGATATCAAGAGTCGGAGTTAGAATACCATACTAGGCAAAAGTTGCCTAGATTAAAGTTCAAAAAAGCTCTCATGTTGGTGCAAGCAAGTCAATGTTATACTCCTCCTCTATTTGAGTTGTTTCAAGAAGAATATGACACATTCCAGTGCACTATTGTGACGCCATGTAATGTTTTGGATAGAGTAGATTATTTTGTTGTTCACTTGTTTGAAGAAGAGAGAAAGTATTTTGTGTCAATGAATGCCACTGAACAAATAGTTACTTGTAGTTGTAGATAGTTTGAAATGGTTGGAATATTATGCTATCATGCGCTTAAGGTGTTGGACATGATGAATATTAAGCAAATTCCTGACCAATACATTATTAAGAGATGGAGACGAGATGTGAGGAATGTTCATGGACAAAATTCTTTTGTCACACAAAATGTGGAGGATCCCAAGTTGGTGACAACATCACGATATAGACAACTATGTCCTAGAATGGTCAAGTTAGCATCTCATTGTTCTGATCTTCAGCCTACATTCGAGTTGGTGTCTCGAGGTACTGATGCTTTGCCTGATCAAGTGG